TCTGTCTGAAGCACCAGCAGCATTAGTGACTGCAGTGACTGCCGATATATGCATTTATCACAGCAAACCAAAACCATGTGAGAATGACAGAGTGATCACACATGTGAGTGAAGTTAGCCCCCCCACCTTCTTCAAATCTAACAAAAGTGGTATCAAACGTTTGTGCTGGTTCGTGCTACGTTTGTGCTACGTTTGTGCTACGTTTGTGCTGGTTCGTGCTACGTTTGTGCTACGTTTGTGCTGGTTTGTGCTGGTTTGTGCTACGTTTGTGCTACATTTGTGCTGGTTTGTGCTGCAAAAAATTTTGTTTGTGCCGCTTTCATTTCAAAGATATTAATTAAAATTTCTAGAGGTCATCAGAGGTCAACCAGCCCCCCCACATTGATGGAATCAAACAAAATTGATGTCAAACTTTTGTGCTACATTTGTGCTGCAAAAATTGTCGTTTGTGCTGCTTTCATTTTGATTCATTTTGATTTCATTCCATGAACAGCATTCTAACGTATGAGTCTATAGTGTCCAGATGTGTGAGAGTGAAGGTCATCGGTTGAGCGTTTTGAACGGTGTGCGAACTCAAATGGATCCATGTTGGGGGAAAGAGATCATTTGATTTGATGCATGACTAACCGTTACAAGCACTTCATTATTATTATTATTATTATTCATAATGATTAATTGTTGTGTGTATGAGGGTACAGTTGTTTTGTCTGTTGTGTGTGTGTTCATGTTCAGTCCATCAGTTTAATGTTGGTCAGATGTAAGGAGTTCAGGAGTCTGACAGCTGTAGGGAAGAAGCTGTTCCGGTACCTTGTGGTCTTAGTCCGGAGGCTCCTGTAGGGCCTCCCAGAAGGAAGAAGGGTAGATGTCCTTTATGGCAGGAAGTGGTGCTCCGGCGATGCGCTGGGCAGTTTTCATGACCCTCTGCAACGCCTTCCGGTCCGAGGCAGAGCAGTTTCCGTACCAGACTGTTATACAGTTGGTCAGGATGCTCTCGATGGTGCAGCGATAGAAGTTCACCAGGATGTCTGAGGAAAGGTGGTTCTCAGGAAGAAGAGGCCCTGGTGAGCCTTCTTGACCAGCTTGGAGCAGTTTGTCGTCCAGATGAGATCCATCGTTGTCACTGATGAGGCCAATCACCGTGGTGTCATCTGCAAACTTAATGGTGGTGTTGGAACCATCATTAAGTTTGCAGTCGTGGGAGAAGAGGGAGTAGAGGAAAGGGCTCATCACACAGCCTTGTGGTACACCGGTGTTCATTGTGATTGTAGATGAGCAGCGGTTAT